ACTTAAATAAAATTTCAGAGCAAGTATAATAGAAAAAGAAAACATATAATTGTAAAGAGAAAATTCGAAATTTAAGGTAGAAATATTACACAAATTGACTCCGCCACTAAATATATATTCTCCTCATCGACTCATATTTATTGATTATTTATAATTTCGATACTCAAACTTCCTAAACAAATAAATTTAATGTATTTTTAAGTCCGAAAATATTTATTAAGTTTAGTTCAATTAACGACATGGATAGTCAAAAGCATGAGTAAATAATTAAATCCACTCTAGAATTGTTGTTCATTTTTTAACGATCGATGATTAAAATAAAAAAACATAGTATTAGTAATGACTTTGTCAAAACAAATAATATGATGATCAAAATAGAAAAACAATAATAAATCTGTGACTATGATGTAGTTTACCCTTAATATATACAACTTTTACTTCATCATTTTCTTTCCATGATGAACTTTACCAAGGAGGAAACAGAAAAGAAAGATAATCTTTTTAGTTGCCTCACCCTAGTTTAGTGGAAAGCATAAACGTGATAATTATCTTTTATATAAAAATATATTGTAAAAAAGATAACAAACTTTATTTTTGCCTCCATTGATGTAGATTGAAAAGAAAATAAATAAATAAAATTAGAGGAAAATGGTGTTGGTAATATATATTTTAGTTGGTTAAAAAAATAAACATCACATGTGATTATATAGAGTGAAGCTAAAAAAATCTTTTGGGGCCACAATCAAATTACATAAATTTGTTTTGGGTTAAAATATAAAGTCATCATCGTATTAGTTTATAGATCATAAGTTTATTGTTAAAAAAAAAAAATTATGAACCAAGCGTTTTAGTGGTTAAGAGAATATCGTTACCTCTTGAGGTTCTAAGTTCATATACGATGTCTACATCGATGTATGAGTGATCATCGTTAAATAATTGAGAACATTGTTGATTATTAGAGAATATTATTCTCTTTAAAAGATTCATATTTGAACAATTATATTTGTAACGTGTGTACACGTTATCATAAACTAAAATAAATACTGAACAAATTCTTACTTACTTATAATCACTTCAAACTATTAAAAAATTATTATTAACACTTAGTCCCCCTCTCATTGTACTAGGCGACCCCACCCCAATCATACAAAACATTTGATTAAAAACCTCTGTTTTGAAAATCGGACCGGACCGGCCGGTTCAATCAGGAACCGTTGTTTAGCCCGGTTCAATCTAAATCGGTTGAACCGCTACTAGTGAACTGGCCAGAACCGTTAAACCGTTCGAACCGGACCGACTGAAAATCGGAAAAAACCGGGAAAACCGGAAAAAACCGGGAATTTTGTTTTTTTTAAAAAAATTAAACCAAACAACGTCGTTTGTTAAACGAGCCAAGTCGAACTCGAGTATTGCTGAGCTCGACTCGAACTTGAAAACTTTAAAAGTAAGTTCAACTCAACTCAAACTCACAAGCTAAAAATTATCAAGTTCAACTCAAACTCGAAATATAATATTGAAACTTGAACTCAAAAAGGCTTGAACCCCAAAAAAATTTAGAAGCTCGATTAAAGCCTAAAATTCGAGCTTGATTGAAGTGAAAGAATAGTTCATTCAATGCTCACCAAAAGGCTCCATGATTTTGAATGCCAAATTACCTCTATTATTTATAGAAGTTAGTTGTGATGCTCTTCTATGTTTCTTAGCAATGTGAGATTGTTTTGTTCTCATATTTTTACTCTTTAGACTTTTGGTATGATCTTCTATGTTTCTTAGCCATGTGGGATTGTTTTTTTAAAAAAAATTAAACCAAACAATATCATTTTGTTATGATTTTTTAACCCCAATTTTATTTTTTAATTATAGTTATATAATTATATTTATTATTTAATATGTTTTACCTTAAATATTATGTTGTAGTTAATTTGAATCATTTTGTTTTACTTGATTTTATGATTTTTAACTTATATATGTTATGACTTGATATGAAAAATTATTTTTTATTAAATATTTTTGGTATTTTTATTTAATTTTTTAAATAACTATGACGTCGTCCGGTTCTTCCGACCGGTTCGACCGGTTGAATCAGTGAACCCGTAGCATGACCGGTTCGCTAACCGATCCGGTTTTAAAAACCATGTTAAAAACTCATTTGGAATCTTTCCTTGATTGATGATGATATGTATTTTAGGTTTAGTTTTAATTTGTTGTACATATAAGATTTGATCTTTCTAATAAAATATCATTTTCCTTATGATATTGTTATATAATATAGTTTTCATGATCCTTATTGGTAGGGTTAGCCAAATAAATGATATGGCCGTCCAATTGAGTCCATTCCATAGCAATTATTTAATTTTTAATTATTGACTCATCAGGCGAACTCAATAGTAGAAAAAATGTTATTTTTCTTAAAGATTTCAAGTTCGAGCAGCTGCATTTATAGGGTATGTGCGTATTATCAATGACTAAAAAAGATTCTAAACAAATGTTATCTTATAATCACATCTGATTATTAAAAAAATTAAACTTTAGGTAACGCTTCCATGAAATTGAAAGAGATTCTAAAAATTTTGCTCTAATTATACCATTTAACAACATGGTCCCTCAAGAATAATTACAAATTCATCATGTTTTAGCTGTCTTCCATTGCTTGTAGATTCTTTTAATTATTATCAACGTGGGTAATCAATGAAATAATAATAAATAATACACTGAATACGAATTCAATTCTCATCTATACAAATTTGAGTGAATTTAGGTAAATATTCTCTAAATATGTTAATTAAAGATTTGGAAGTTATCGAAATGTAATGGTTACATATACACCATATTTCAAAACATATATATATATATATATATATATATATATATATATATATTTAAAAATAGTAAAATTACTACAATACTTTACATTAATATATAGGTAAAGTGCACCATTAATCACTAGATTACTTCACATTACAGACGTGCATATGAGGACTGCATATGAAGATTGTTCACATACGTATTTTATTTATTTATTTAAACATGCATTATATTTTATCTTTATTTTTATTTTTTTTTTGCCGGAGGTCTTCCACGGAAGCTGCTCTCAACCTGGCGTTGGGGGACAACCTACTACCCTACCTCCCCCTTACTCCATTCCATATGGGAATAGGGTTTTGTTGTTGTTGTTATTGATTCATTTTAGTACTGAACTTTAAAATGTTTTGATTTTAAAACTAAATTTTAATTTGTGTTTCAATTGAGGTAATAGATTGTTTAACAACGTGATGATATGGATATTTCTTTTTCATTCTTTTGTACAAAATCATCAATTATCACTGATTACTATCCGTGACATGATTAGAACAAAAATATTTGCATTTTTCCCCTTTATTCTCGTAAAACTAGCTCAAAATCTATATAAAAAAATCATCCTAAGGTGCTACATTCTAATTATCTCCTCTGAATATCTTCCGGTGAGGCTATTTTCTAAGTATATTGTTCTTGTTTTTGAAAAACTACTTCTCACAGTTTGGATGTTTGAGTAAACACTCCAAATCCTTCAAATCTGATAAAGCTCCCAAACACCCCAAAATGTTGATTTTTTTATGTTTAATTTAATAAGTTGTAATGTTTTGAGGGGGAAAAAAACAAAACAAAATTGATAATGTGATAGAAGAGGATAAGACGTGTTCACTGATGTATAGGATGATTGTAAAAGACGTCAAAGAATGATGATTTCCAACGTTTGTTCAAAATGAATAAAAAAAAACTCTAATTTTAATGGAAAAGATGGTGAGGTGAAATAAAAAATATATTTTTTAACCTTCACGGCAACATAAAGTCATCGTGTCGTCCTACTGTAGATAATAACTATCTAATATTCTAATTAAAACATAAACTAAAATTTAATACTAAAATTAAAAAGTTTAAGTTTAATTCTAAAATTATTACAACCTATCGAGTAAAAGTGAAAATTACTCTTTTTCAAGTTTATATATTTACAAGTTACAACGGTGAGGTAAAAGCATTGGGATTTCAATGCGAAGCAACTTATTTACATCATATATTATATTAAATACAAAATAAAGTATTGCTTTGAACTAATTTGTCTTAATGGGTAAATGAATCATTATTGTTTTTGAAATTTATGGGTTCGAGCACTGACAATTGTAAGAGTGATTGTACGTTCAATATCAAATGATTGAGAAGATTTAGAACATGTATTTTTTATATAATGATATCAAATATTTTCCAACATTGCATGATTAGAAGAGATTAACTAAGCATCCATGGCGGGACCGTTGTCTCTTTACTCTTTCACTGATCCAATTGTGACCCACAAAAGAACATCACATTAACACAATCACAACCGTCAGATCAGCTGACCTCATCATCATTACCAAACACCATCGCCATTGCAAACTCTCAAAAGTTCAGATCAGAAGTCTGAATATTTTTGCATCAGCCAAAGTATAAGCTTTGTTATACCACCATTAAGTCATGCATATTATTAAATTGCTGTCGTGATCGCGGTTGTAATGTCGGGATTGTAGATATTATAGACGTTAACCATTGATTTATTTTTTAATACTATATTTTTATATTACGGATAATGTTATGATATTGTGATGATTTTAAAAATGTTAGGATGTCACTATTGTACTACATTGCGGCTGTAATTTAATACTAAAATTCCGTAGTCCAAAGTGGGGTCTCGTGGAAAAACAAATATGGGTCCACAAAACTGCATACGTGCCACGCGTACATGGTTAGCCCCATTATAAGCCATACAATTCCCACAGGTTGACACTGCAGATTTTAGTCTTTTGCTCACAAACCCTAACTGGTCCACCATTGGCACAGTCCCCTACATTAAATTCAAACCACTCCCAGTGGTACTCTTCTTCAACAGATTCCTCAAATCCCACTCTCTTCTTCTTCAGAACTTGTTCAAAGTTCAAGGGTTTTGCTCTCTGATCTTTTCTTCATAGGAAGAAAAAGAAGTAGAAGAAATGGGTCACCATTCATGTTGTAACAAGCAGAAAGTGAAGAGAGGATTGTGGTCACCCGAGGAAGATGAGAAACTCATCAATTACATTACAACGTATGGCCATGGATGCTGGAGCTCAGTCCCTAAACTTGCTGGTTTTGTTCATTTCTTTTTTCTTTTTTGTTGTTTTATGATCTAAATCGCATTAGATTTTTCTAACCCTTTTTGGTTTTTTGCAGAACTACTACATTTGATTCCTTGTTCTTGTGTTCTTTTTTGTGTGTGTTGATTTGATTGATAATACAGGCCTTCAAAGATGTGGAAAGAGTTGCAGATTAAGGTGGATAAATTATCTCAGACCTGATTTAAAACGTGGGAGTTTCTCTCCACATGAAGCAGCTCTCATCATTGAACTCCATAGTATTCTTGGCAACAGGTTCTTCAACTATTACACATATATATATGTGTATATGTATATGCATGGAGTTTTGATTATTTTTCATTGTGATCATCGTTTTGAACAGATGGGCACAAATAGCAAAGCATTTACCGGGAAGAACAGATAATGAAGTGAAGAACTTTTGGAATTCGAGTATCAAGAAAAAGCTTATCTCACATGAACATGTGCCGACTTTGGCCTCTTTTGCTGCTGATGTTCATAATTCAACCCCTTCGGAGGACGCAGCTGCTGGTTTCATCTCTTTAAATGGAAATCCTAATTTGATTCTCAGTACTCAAAAAGATCAGCTCTATCTTTCTTCCCCTACAGCTCCACTGCTACAAAGCTTTGTTCATCACCATTCGGATTTCAAGCCGAATTCGAGTAGCTTTAACGTGGATTTGGTTCACCATCATTTCCCTATGCTCCCACCACTGCCGCCGCCACTGCATTCGAATGCGCCTTCCTTCGACGTTTCGTGGACATTGCCGTTTGCACCTCAACACGACCTCGAAGATCATCAAAATCAAGACGGCGTATTCGTTAGCGACAAGCTTACGAGTCCTAACAACGGCTACGATAACTCCTTAATGGTTCCTTCTCCGACAGTGCCCAAACTCTGTGAAATCCTCGAAGGTAACATGATCTGCAACATCCCACATACGTCGGTTTCACTAGAGAACAACATTGACCCACTCGTCTCGAGACTCTCGTCTTGTTTCCCCAACGCACATGAGATGCAGGTGGAGTACAATGTCGATAACATTGTCACATCGATGCGTTCGTCTTCATCTTCGTCTTCCTTATCAGCCTTAACCGGTGCCGGGCAGTATTTGACAAACCCTAATCTTCCTTCAACCAGTTGGGAGCCTTAGTCGTTGCAGATTCATCAGTCCTATGGTATTTTCTCTATAAAAGCAATCGTTTTCTTGATATTATATATATGTATGCATACGATATCTATATCTATATATGTAAATGTATGTAAAGAAAACCAAAACCTAAGTGTGACTAATTCAGAAATTTAGTGAGGATAATGCTACCTTGATGATGTTGCATAAATAAATACTATGTAGGCTATTGATTTCACATATAAATTTCTCCTATACCACTTTTCTCTCTCTCTCTCTCTCTCTCTATATATATATATATATATATATATAGCTTTCTCTTTGTAGTTTCTATCATAATGTGTAGGTGGAGGGGGCATTAAAACAGTGGGAAAATAGTTCATATTTATACAATTTTATGTGATTGATTTTGTTTTTTAGGAATGGCTGAGAATTCTGAAGATCAATGTGCAGACTATAACATATATAGTAACTGGTAATTATATAAACATATTAAAGGTCCATTGCATTCCAAGTTTTCTCGGTTTCAGTACAAGTTTTTGTTCGATTGATATCTCATAATTTAGATATTATAAACTCGGATATGTTTTCAAATTATATATACCATGAGCAAATATTAACCCATATATTATGCAGTGGTGGATCCAGGAATTAAAAAATGGGGGTCCAAAATAAATGAGCAACAACTTACTGACGACTTGATTGAGGAAGTTCACCGGAAAATCTCCGGTGAACGGCGTCGTGACGAGTGGTTTAAACACAAACAAAAGACTGAGAAATAATAATTGAGTAGCAGTGGGGTTGGAGTATGTGGGTTTGAACGCAAAACAGAAGCTTTAGTATTAATAATAGTTGAAATGAAAGGTTTTTAAATGATATATATTATTTTAATTAGTTTTTAATTAAAAATATGGAATATATTGACAGTTTCCGAGCACAAATTTCAACTACAAAATAAAGTGTGCAGAAAAAGAGCACAAATTTTAACTAAAAAATGTGTAGAAAAATCAAAATAAAAATAAAAAGGGTGTGCAAAATTTTTAAGTTTTAATATAGTATATTAAGTGTTGGTATTTTTTTAAGGAAAATGGGTATGCAACTGTTACCTCGTGGGCCATATAGGTTCGCCATTGATATTATGTGTATAATGTATACAGCAACAACAACTATAGACTATCGCAACGAATTTAGAAAATCGCAACGAATTTGGAAAATCGCAACGACAACTGTAGACTATCGCAACGCGAAATGGAAAACCGTAACGCGATTTTCAACTATCGCAACGCGATTTTCAACTATCGCAACGCGAAATGCAACGCGAATTTACGATAGTGGAGATCGCATTGCGATTTTGTTGGTCATTTTCGCAAATCCAAACAAAATTAATCAAAATCGTATATTATCTAGGATTTTTGGTCACTGAAATTATTTTCTCTTTTATATATCCTCTTGCGCTTGATGAGTACAAGGTAACGTGCATTGATAGATACTGTTTGACTCATATTTTTTACTTAATGTTGTGTATTATATTAATTTTCATGAAAATGAGTTTAATATATATTAGAAGTTTTTAATAAAATTTTAAATAAAATATAAAAACTGGTTGTAAAATTTGAAAATGAACTCTTCTTTATAATCACTTCAATATATGATCAATTGATTGATTAGTACAAATTCAGATACTGTAAGATCTTATTACGTACGTGACTCTTTCAGTTAACTTGTTTTATTTGTGATATTAAAATTTGAATTTCATACATTGTTTAAATGACATAATATATTATTTTACTAGACCTACAGAAATTTTAATAAATATATGAAAACGAGCTTTTTTTTTTAAATAAATTAGGGCAAAACTCCTCCCTAAGTCCATTTAGTTCCGCCCCTCAATCTGAGAATGGTCTCAGATATTGTTTATTGCATCCGATTCGATTTCGAAAATTTTAATAAATATACATAATTAATTCAATGTCCCCATATATGTATTTTAAAAAATTACGCACAAGGTTGGCATTATTTCAGGAAATCTGGACTGAGACCGATGTCATGAAAGGCAGAGGTAGTAAACAGCAAGCTCTCTTTTTTAAAGATAAATGGTCCCCCAGTTAGAGGACGTTATTTTGTTGAGTCCCCGGTCATTAAAAGTTATAAAATAATCATCTGATTGTTCATTCATTTTAAACTCGTCATTTTCCATTAAAATTTTTAGGACAATTTAAGTTTAACGTTAACCTACTAATTGAGATATGTTAAAATCTGATCTCAAAATGTCATACAACTATCATATCTCAATCCATATGCTAACGTTCAACTCAATCTGTCGTCAATTTTTAAATGGAAAAATATGAATTTGAAATATATGAATAATCAAATGGTCATTTTATAACTTTTAATAATTAGGAGACTCAACAAAACAATATCATATAATTAAAAGACTGTTTTATAACTTTTAAAAATTGAAGACTCAACAAAACAACACTCTACAATTATCTTCATTTCTATACTCCACTTTTTTTTTTAAATGTAAACCGTAAGTTGTAAGCACATAGTAGGGGACTTTTAAAGCCTTTTGTTACTGCCTTTTGGTCTTGACAGTAAATAATTCAGAACCCTCCATGCAAATCTTCAAACCCCCAGATTCGATATATGTAATTTTCTAAAAAAAATATTTAAATTTACATTCAATTGATGAAAAAACATTAATTCAAATAAAGACACGCTCCGACTCGACATGAATATTTTCATAACTCCGAATATGCAGATAGAAGTTCAAAACAAACAAGGGATGGCCATGGACACAACATCCTGTATGAAGAAACATCAATATTCCTTTTAGGACTAAAAACATCGAACACCATCTAAGAAACCAGACAAAATACAACAGTTTGTGGGAAGTAGAAGGTCATTTAATTTTAGACCAAGCTATTTCCTTGTATTAACAAACAACTACAACAAAAACAGACACACAGACCCAAATTTATGATCTTTCAAAACCCCTTGAAAAAATTTTGATGACTAAATTGTAATGCCTCTTGCAGTTGTATACAAATTCGACAAACTTTTAAGAATTTAGGGTCTATTAATCCGCCATAAACACACCGGAGATCCAATCTGATGCGGCGGTTAGAATGTCCGACTCGATTTGTGGACAAAGCGATATAGGAGTTACTGCAACCTGTAATTTCATAATTTCAAGCAAAGTAATGAATTAGTCACTTACAGGAATCGTTTTGTATTTGTATAGGTCGATTTCATTATGGAGATCAACCCTTCGACTTTCGGTAAAACAATAGGGTTTTAACTTACGAATCCGTTGTCAAGGGCCTTGAAATCCAAATCCTCATCTGCATTTTCCTCTTCTTTATTTATAAACTGCAAAATACAAATATAATCCGGTCAATTATAGTTGACTGTAACAAAAAATAAGCTAAAGTTTAGGAGCAGCATTGAAAAAAGGTTTCCAAGGATAAGGAAGAATAATAATGGAATAGTTAGTTAAGCATAGCTTTTAAGCTTTTTAGATGCATACACGACCTGATTTTATGGCAATGTTCAAATGTATAAATGAAATCATAAAATATTTAGAAAAGAAGATAATAAAGGATTTCTACTTCTCAGATTCACAACTACTAGGGCAATAATTTTACATACCTCCAGCCGAAAAAACTTTTTCACTTTATTATCAGATTTAACAGCCCCAACTGACTCTACCTCCACATTCTGCCTCCGCGTGCTAATGCGATGAGCAGCACCCTAAAGAAAATACGCATGCATTATAGTTTGTGGCTAGTGACAGATACCATACAAAGAGATTAATATAAAGAAATGATGCTAAATAACTGGAAAAATAAACTTACAGCAGCAGATGCATCTCGGCTAAGCTGTGCAAGTTGAAGCCCAAGGCTTTGTTGATTAGACATGAAATGAGCAGCAGAAGAAGGATGCCGATTAGCTGAAACAGCAAGCCAGTTTGGTGCAGATCTCCACATACTTTGCATGGTCAATTTAAAACCCTGCCACATATGAACGAATACACAACTAATACATGAAGGACGAAAGAATTGGTAGATGCAATCATGAGGTAAGAGTTATCCCATCAGAACAAAAAAAAAAAAGCAGGTAAATATCAGCAATATAAAGATCGTAATAAGTTAATAAATTACAACAAAAGAGAATATCGACCGTATGAAGCATCATCCAACTGGAATATTTTATGAAGTCAACAAGGCACAAGTTCCGACCAGCATAATTCATGCATAAGTAATGTTAGACTGTTCAAAAGCTTAAGTCCAAAGGAAAGAGCGTGCAAGGTAATATGACTATTTGGATATAATTCAATAGATATACCGTACTGAATCCAAAACCCAAGACTGCATAGTTAAGTAAATATAGCGTAAATATACTTCTCTATATTACATACAACAACGAGGAAGCTTTGTCCCTGAGGTGATTTAAAGCTTCACATTTTCCAAAACAATTTCAGTCAGCCAGTTGCCAGCAGATCTTTTAAAAGGGAAATTGCATCAAGGGAAACTTCTAATTGAACAATAAAGAGTATGGCCTGAAACTTCCTACCAAATTGTATATTACCATGGTTCTTTCTAAGAATGTCAATTCCGTTAAGAAGATAAGGCATGACCCTTGCATGACAACCTTCATTAATGCAGGTTTTAGAAACATCCAACACATTGACATGATTTAAAAAGAATGAAACTTCACCATTCCATTATAATTTTGGAAGTAAACCATACTCTTACTCTGGTCTCTAAATCTAAGAAATTGGAGGAAGAGATAGAGAATTTCCAAAAGGGATATTATACATACAATTCCAAGATTGCCTCAATAATTTTAGCCTGGTATCAGTAGTACTATTATAGTTCTGACACAAATTCATGCTATAACGAACAACTGGATATGAATCAATGGAACAGGTTAATTCCTATAAGAAATAAGGAAAGATAATATCTATTAGCCCTAAAATCATGTGCCTCCTAATATTAGCATGAGGGCAGTCCAAAAAACGAGAACTGTCTCAACACCCACCATAAGA